AAAGGTTTTTGGAAACTGGATGGCTTTCTTCAGCAGTTAGTCAAGGAACCAGCTAGAAACAATGCTATTTAGACTTATTGTTAACTTCAAATACAGAAATGGTTGAGAGGGTGGAAATTGGGTGCAAGCGATCATTGCTCTATAAGGTTCGATGTTTTGCTGCATATGGAGATAAGGAATAACGATATTTTGGTTACAAATTTCAAAAAAAGCAAATTTTGAAGGGTTGCAACAAGAATTATCTGTTGTGAATTGGGCAGCTGAGTTATTTGGAGACACTGATCAGATGTGGAAAATTTTTAATGATAAATTTTTAAATATTCAAGATAAACATATTCCTTATAGAAAGAAAAGGGTAGCTGCAAATAAAAAAACATGTTGGCTCATAAAGAGTTTAAGAGATAAAATTATAAAAAAGCATCATAAGTTTAAGATATTTAAATTGACTGGTATGACAGAAGATTTAGAAAATTATAGAAGATCAAGAAAATTGGTGAAACAGGAAATTAGGAGATCAAAAAAGAGGTAGGAAAAGAGGTTGGCTGAAAATGTAAAAATTAACAGTAAGGACTTCTTTAAATACATTAAGGGTAAACAAAATGTTAGGATGGGGATAGGATGCTTGAGGGATGATAATGGAAAGCTAGTATCTGATGATTATGAGATGGCTGGGTTATTAAATTTTACTTTTTCCATCAGTTTTTACTAATGAAGATTTAAGCAGTATTCCACATCTTGATCAGTTGATAAATGGAAATGTGATCAAACAAGATGACTGCATTAATTCTGATCTGGTTAAGAAAAAATTGGGAAGTTTAAAAAATGATAAGGGCCAGATAATATTTCTACAAGGGTTTTGAAGGAGGTTAAAAATTGGATATGTGAACTACTTACTATTATTTATTGTCAGTCCTTGAATAGTGGGCAGGTACCAGAGGATTGGAAGTTAGCTAATATAACTCCTCATTTCAAGGGAGGTGATAAAAAGATGTTGAAGAGGCAGTAAATATAAATGAGTTTAAGAAAAAGCTTGACAAGTATCTGAATGAAAAGGGCAGTAAATATAAATGAGTTTAAGAAAAAGCTTGATAAGTATCTGAATGAAAAGGGCTGGCTTTAAGGTTTTTATTATTATTATTTTTAATCATTTTAATTTAATTTGGAAGATGGAACAGCCGAGATAGATGAATAGGTCCCATGTTGTCCAAAGAGTTATGTTATTTCTTTTATTTAATGAAGTGTGTGCAGATTGTATGGTACATGTCTTAAAATATTAAGTTAAAAATAAACTTAATATGGAGTACGTCTCCTGTCCCCAGTAATTAGCAAAGTCTGGCTAGAGCTTCATGCTCCAATGATTATGGCAATTCTTTCAGCCCTGCTGACAACAAGGGACCATTTGATCATTTAAGGCTATCCCTGCATACCTACCCTTTAAGAAAATTAAAATTCAAACCCACTCTTTATTTTTCAGGAAATAATTGACTTCTCTCTTAAACTGTTGTAAAATGTTGACCTTCACTATTGTTAATAGTCACTCATTCAATAAGTAAACCATCCTGTTAGGAAAATAAAAGTCTTAAATGGAGCCTAGCCTGTCTTTTCCAAATCTTAAACATATGTCCTCTCTTCTTATTGTCTTCAGGACACAGCCCAAAGAATTCAAAGAACATTGTCCTATCAGTCTCCCAGATAAATGTGTAAACTTCAATGAGATTACCTCTTACCCTTCTTTTCTCAAGAAAAACTAAGAGATCTTGAACTATCCCTATAGTAACCTTTCTCTAAATTCTTTCCAGAAAGTCAATATCCTTTCTCACACAAGGAAACCAAAACTGTACACACTATTACAAATGACACTTAACAAGTGATTTGAATATAGAGTTAATTACCTATTCTGACTTGTAATCAAAACATCTATAAATACAGGAAAAGAAAATTTAAAAGTTCAGCTATCTCACAGTCTTCAATTAAAAAAAACCTTGCAACTGGAATTCTTTAGGAGCCCAATCCCCATTTTAACAGTTCTCTTAGCTTAAATGTATCTAAAAGAATCCTTGCTGTTTGTTCTAACATTATCAGCCATTATTGCATAATATTAATTAAACTTTTCACTCAAATGTATTTGATACCTACCTAACATTAACCATTTTTTTTAAACAAATTACAAGTCAAACTTATCAACTCATTTGCTAACATTATGTATCATCAACTTTTATACTGGTACTACATGTACACTTTACCTGAGAAGAAGATGAATAAAAATAGCACCACTCAGGAAAGAAGCCACCAAGACCAGTGATGAAATTAAACTGTAATAAAATTCAAACATGTTTAATTATAACTTTTCTATTTATTATTTTAATTTTGTATATACTTTTAATTCTACTGGTACATTTAGCTTACAATAAATATTTGTTAATTATTTTTAATTATACAAATGCTCTTGCACTCTGCAATATCAAACAAAAACTTTATGCTTGTTAATTTCATACATGTGACACATCAAAAACTTATCATTTACAATTTTATGCTATTATTGATAAATCCATCAAATGATCATTGTTAAACTTAAATGTTGTTGACTTACAAAATAAAAGATGAAAGTCTGTAAGCTCTGGTAATGGGCATTTGAACTTATTGAATTAGTTGCAATTAAATACTAAAAAATAATAATTACATCAGGTGAATTATGATTTCCAAATATTATAATATGCTATATTTCTATTAATATAAATATTTTAACTAAAAGTTACAAGCACTTATTCACTGGTAACTGATGTTAGTGAATTCATGAAGTTACAACAAACTTGTAACATACTGATACTGAAAAAAATAAGTTACTGATCAGCTCACAATGAGAACTTTCAACACTTCCATATAGTGCTGCTTCTGTAACTTAATGACCCGGACTCTGTGAGTGTGACTAGTGAGCAAAGTATTCAAGTTAGTGGAGAAAAGTTTTATCAATGTGGCAAGATTTATCAAAGGTATTTATTCACTTTACTTTTTCTTATTTTGCCACTGAACTTATTTTCATTATTACCAGAAAAATGATAAAGGTTTTGTTCTAATGTGACTTCAAGTTCATACTCATAATAACACTGTTTAATGTTTAATTTTATTATACACTAGTATTTACTTTATCAAGCATAGCTTCAGCAAATAAATACCTTCAATAAGTTCGTAATTACCTCTTCCTGAGTCAGTGAGTGATCAAAAATAAATATTGCGTAGTTTCGAATGATTTCAGTCAAAACGACAGTTTCTATAACATAACAACTACTACATTTTACTTTGCTCAAAAACTAAGGAAGTCAGAAATGAGATGAGTAATAAAATTCGCACAAGAACGCTCACAATAAGCTTAATTTAGCGGTGGTTCTCGTGTGAAGCAAGTATGAACCGTTCACTAGCATAACAAGCCCACTGCAAGATAAGTGAATGTTAAATAAATTATTATAAATTTGGTTGTCGTCACACGATATTCACAATCCCTTAGAATTTGAATTGATATAGATGTATAATTTATTCCTAAGTTTAATCTAAGTTATCAACTTAATAGCATGAATTTTCTTCACTCGAAACAAAAAACTTGCCTTGAAAGTATTCCAAAGAAAATAATGATTAGCATAACACCAAAACCGCCTATAAGAAAAAGACTATCAATACATGTTAAACTTGCCGATGTTTGTGCTATAATACCATCTTCATCTTTCTGTTCGCTACTTTCTGCCATGTTTCTGTATGTGTATTCTAAATGGTACGATCATATTTTATATCATTCTATGAAATCCAAAACTATTGGCATAGTTTAAAACAATAAATTATAATTATTGTATGAAAGAGGATTATTCATACAGATGACTGTATAAATATACAAACAATTATTTAATAAATAATAAGACAAGTATTAACTTAATACTTTTAATTTCAATATTTTCAAATGCTGAGCAAGCAGTAGTTTACCAATCACACTTTTATATCAACATGTTACTTTTACACATTCTTGTCAATAAAATTAAGTTAAATGTATTGTTATACATTATTTTTGGTCCTACGGTGGAACAGCGGTAAGCTTACGAACTTACAAAAATAAAATCCAGCGTTCCACTTCCCCCATGGACACAGCATATAGACCATGTGGCTTTCCCTAAAGAAAAACAACAAAACAACATTATTGTTACGTCTCTGTTCGTTTGTTAGTTTCCTTAGAAATTCTTTCCGAAAAACTTTAGCAATACAAGTCCTTCCTTAAATAAAACTAGTTTATTCTATCTCAATACAACTTTGCAATACACTTAATTTCCACAGTCACTTTAATAACTTAACAAATGCTATAATTCACAACGAACGATTCACACCTACTACCGCGCTTGCCTCAATTGCCCGTCTCTATCTCTGTCTGCAATTCAATTCCATTGTTTGGCGCACTTATATACAAGAATACCGCACATCCAGTAAACACTCGAGAATTCACAAACCTTCGAGAATATCACGACGTATTACTAGGATCATGTGACTTCCGCTGTCGTAACATTGCCCCTTCCTTAGTATTGTTCGTCTCGAACAATAGCCACTTACATTAAACCAATAAACAATTAACAATAACTGAATTAAATATACAGCATTTACAAACACAAAATTAAAATTCAACAAAGTCTCTTAATTTTACGAGACGTATCTTCTTCCATATTGGTCTCCGTCTCGTTGGCTTCTGCTTCATATGGGGTTCATCTGCTTCTTAGGAAATTTTACGGGACGTATCTTCTTCAGTACTGGCATCTGCTTCACGTGAGGTTCATCTGCTCCATCAGGAATTGTCCTATCATCGGTAACAGTCACATCAGTGGTAGTAACTTCATTAAGGGCTTCACCGAGTAGAGTTTCTTCTTCGACAGTGGCCTTTCCAGGTGACACGTCTTCAGCAGCGTCTTTTGTTCCATTGTTCACTTCATCCCAGCTCAAATGTCCTGGACCGTGATAACGCCAAAGCCTGTTGGCATGCGCCACCTTTGGCTTACCTCGCCGACCACATTGTATTCCGAGAGTCACGTCTGAGAGAAGATCCACTATGTCACATGGGACTTCCCATGGAGAAGACAACTTAGGAGACTTCCCTTTGATCTTCCTGGGATTATACAATCATA